CAGGCAATTTGAATGACGCAGAGGAAAGCATATGCAAATAGGGTTTCCGGATTTGGCAGATAAGATACAGGACACCCATCTAAATGTGAATTTCAGATAAACAATAAATAATATTTTAGTATAATCATGTTACATACCATGTTTAGAACATAGTTATCACTAAAAAATTATTGTTTGCCTGAAATTCACATTTATGTGGATGTCCTGTAGTTTATTTGGCAACCTGGTAACAAAAGACTGCCATGAGCTTGCCCTTCGAAGACGTCCCCTCCCAGCTATGCTCACATTAGAGGTTTTTCAGTTGCCCTAATCCTTGCATCCAACTCATGAAAAAAAAAAAAAACATTTAAAAAGCCAGTTCCCGCTGACTTGCAAAGAGAGCAAAATCGGGTGAAATGCATTGTTTAAACTTTAATTGCCAACCTTGAAAAGGAACATATTAACCAGTTATCCTCTGATAAGCAGATCACTTGCCTCATGTCTTAGAATCCAGTAGGTAGTCCTTTGGCCATGTAATGTGTGTGGGACTGGCTTTTCCCTAATTTGACCCTTCTCCTTTCAGTGGGAGGGAACTATTGAAAGGAACAATGAGCTTATAAATACATTAGGACCTGGAATTCAGTTGCCGAGCCAAGCCACGAGGGTGGACAGCATTTAACAAAGTAAGTACTGATCTTACAAATCTCCCTACATTGCCTCACACCCTCCTCTCTGGCCTCCTAGAAAAATATGCTAATATGTGTTCTCAGCACAAGAAAAATTCTGTTTTTACTCAAATCGTGCCATCTCGGTGTGTTTCGGTGATAGTTCAAGAACTGTTTATTTCTTTTTTGTTGGATCCATCTTTAGAGAAATGTAAAAATGAGGAATTTAGAAAACCAGGGCCTCAGAATTTAATGGTATGGGAAACAATGACATGAGGAGAAAAAGAAATGGTAGTATTTTAAATAATCTGAGAATAATCAGTGCCTGAAGAAATGGCAATGTACGTGAAAATTTATTTCTCTGTAGAAGTAGTCAACACGCAATTGTTGTAAATTGTGATACTGTAATACTATATTGCCTGTGAAAATTCAAAACTAAGGTTTATTATTATTAGATTAGTTTGAATGTCAGGAGAACTAGATTCTAGTTGAGACTTTGCCACTAATTAGCTCGACAACCAGTCGCATTCTGTCTCTGGAGTTCTACCAACTCATGGCAAATTAGAGAATAGCTAAGAAAGAGTCTCTGACTGTTGATGCCCTTTGAACTGTGTAATTCTTTGAATGGAGAGATGTCCTGCCCACCTGAGGAAGTTTCTAGTCATCCCTGGCCTCTACCTATCTGATTTCTAGCCCCCTCTCCCTACATAACTTCATAACACAGCTCAGCAAGGCTGTGTTACTGATGTGCCACACTGCTTGGAAAGTCACTGAAAATTTCTTGTTAATCCAGGTGGGCTGATTAGTGAATATCATTAACCTCTGTACAAGAGCTAAAAAGCAAACAGAGAGAGAAAGAGACAGAGAGCCATCATATGACAGGTTTAATAGAAGTCTGGATTCATATAAAATCTTATTTCTACTAGAGTTCTATGGACAAAATATAAAGAACTAGAGAGATGGATACAAGATAGATAACAGATGATGAAGAGGCAGACAGATTACAGCTAGATAGATACATAGAATGATAGATAAAATAATACCTACTTATATGAGTAGACAGAGATTATAAATAGATACATATACAGAGATTGTTCATAGGTAAAATAATTGATGGATAGATAGATCAAAGAAAGAGCTTTCATGTGCTCCTCACTGTCCAGAGACTCACTTATCTGCCAAGCTCTGGGACAAGAGCCAACACCCATTGCTGAGCTCCTACTATGAATTATTTGTACATTATCTCATTTAACTTTCTCAACAACCCTCAAAAGTAGAAATAACTATCTCTATTCTAAGAAGAGAAAGTTGATGCTCAGAGATTAAACAACTTACTGCGTTTATGTACCTCATAATGGAAAGAGTCATGGTTTATCTCATTCTCCCTTCTCTTTGATAAGAAACAGAGTAACTGGGACCACCTCAGAGACGTAATTCCTTTAATTTCCTCCTGGAATTATCATAGCTTATATTCTTTTCAAAACAAGCCCCTTTTTTTAAATGGATGGAAATACAGTTATACTAGTCCTCAGCTCACTCTGACATTTAGGTTGTCAAAGTAGAGAAAGGCACACTTTTATTAATTTTTTCTTCCAAGCAAGCTCCTATAAAGTTGCTAACAGAAAGAACTCAGGAATTAGATGTTCCTCTCTCGCCCTTGTCTTTCAATATTTAGTTGGCTAATGGACTCTAGATAGGAAAATGTAAAACAACTTCTCAGACAGGAGCAGAGCCAGCTTACAGACTTGAGTGGAAAAGCTCTGGACCTGCGATCAGAAGGAGTTCAGGCTGACCCAGTACTCACCAAGTGTGCAGCGTGGGACAGGTGCTTCAGCTCTCTGAACCTCAGTGTGCCCATCTTTAATTAGGATATTAGGAGCCATTTCCCAGGGTTGTTGCAGAAGGTAGACACACTCCCTAGATACTGACCATGAATGAGAAGCATGTTTGTACGACCCATGGCAAATCCTTGAGCTCTCCAGTTCTCATTTTCTGTTTACCCAACAAAGCTCAATGGCAACCTTTGCCCAAGTCTTAGCATGACCTATAGGAACTCTCATATTGAGAAGGTAAAATGGTAGTTATTAGCAGGAGTGTTGTGATAAAATGTTATGCAAGATAAATATTTATTGCCTTTTGAAACCTGATCCTCAGTCATTAACTAAGGGAGCTTAGTGTGGGGATTAGAATTACAACACTGTGAACTCTAGTCCAAAACAATTAAACGAGCACACCCCACTCTCTGTGTGAGCATCACGCTCCCTTTTATTCTGCTGAATCATGCTACTTCCATTTCCCAAGTTAGGAAAGTACAATGTCAAAATATCAAATTGCAAAACAAGTGAGCTGATTCAGTACAATTTCAAAGAATTCTTTACTTTCCAAAGGTCAAACTACTGACTTCCATATTTTAAAATGTAGACTTTTAAAAGATTTTGATGTCTAAATTTAAGTCATACATGCTTTTTTAGAAATTAGTTGAGGCCAGGTGCAGTGGCTCACGCCGGTAATCCCAGCCCTTTGGGAGGCTGAGGAAAGTGGGTTACCTGAGGTCAAGTGTTCGAGACAAGCCTGGCCAACATGCTGAAACCCTGTCTCTATAAAAAATATAAAATTAGCCAGGTGTGGTGGCACGTGCCTGTAATCCCAGCTACTTGGGAGGCTGAGGCAGAATTACTGGAACCTGGGAGGCTGAGTTTGCAGTGAGCTGAGGTCACACCATTGCACTCCAGCCTGGGCAAAAAGAGCAAAACTTCATCTAAAAAAAAAAAAAAAAAAAAAAAAAGAAATACATTGGTTGTTAAAGGCAAGCACATTTTCTTTCCAAACTCAACAACCACAAAACGTTGCAAAAAATAATCTTAGTGTTTAATAACAGAGCTGCATGTTTGGAGAGAAACTGCAACTATTCGTAGTCCTGGCACTGGAACTCCTGCTTTCAATGAGTCTTCTGTGTTTCCATTCACGTTCATGATTCAGTTAGTTGCCTCCGTCCCTGCAGCCACTGGTTTCCATTCTCTGACACTCTGCTGTGTTCCACCTCACATGCAGCCTGGGATAGAACAAGGGCTATCAAACTTCACTGATGAGCCTCAAAACATTGATCTCTAAGCATTTACAGTGAACGAGTGAGCGTGCACACATGCAAGCCACCATACACACAACATACAAATAACTGAAACTAAAAACTCATGAAACATTACTTCTCCTTCAACATGTCATGCTCACTGATATTTTCTATTTTATTTTTTAAAGTAGTGGGATTTCACAATCTGCTGAAAGATTACCATGCATATTTGAGAAACACTAGCATAGAAAATAAGACTCAGTATTTGGTTTTTAAGAGCAGTGAGCCTGAATCCCAGATCCACTACTTACTCTGAGCAACTTACTTTAAAAACCTCGGGATCCCCAACTGTAAAATGAGAATCACAACCGCATTAATCTTGGGTGATTTTTGTAGGATAAAATGAAGAGAAGTTTAGAAGAATGACAGTGTGTGACATTGGACAGATGCTAGCACCTTCCATGTCTGCAAAGTTAATGCAGCAACACCTCTTTTTCCAGGTTATAAAACAAAATGCACCCCAGAGTTAGAATACAGAAGGCCAAAAGAAGCAAGGGACTATCATTACCCATCTGTTGCAAGAATTTGGATCATGTAGTTACAGTGAAACAAGTCTGAGGCCTAATTTCTGCTTTTAATTAAATGCAGTCTCACAGCCAAAGAGCTGAAGAGTGACTTAGCTCCCTCCCAGTCCTCCCTGTCAGTGACATCCTCTGGTTTCAAGGCCAGTTCATGGGTTCCCAGGGCCTTCACCTGGGGGCTTCTGTGTGTGCCTTCATTTTAGTCCTGGGTGTAGATACTCATGTCTATCACCAACTGGAATGTGACTGTGAACACTGCATTTCTCTGATGTTCTATTTCATTAACTAAAAAATGGAGATAACCACTATTTCATGGGACTATAAGAAGGATTAAAGACAAAATATTGACAGGGACTAGCATTGAGGAAGGATCATTAGGAAGTTTTCAATAAATATTAGTTCTTGAATTCTTCCTCTTCCCATTAACTGCTATACATGTATTATTACCACATGCTCTCACTTCTCAGCATGGTGAGAATGGTCACATTTAACCAATGGGCATGTGAGACTGGGGTTTACTGGAATCTGAGGGTGGCCGCTGATGGGTAACAATCTGGGCCAAGAAAACATTCCAGGAACTCCTCTACCCCAGTCATGAAGAAGGCAGATGCTTCGTCAGCATTGTTGGTAGTTCTCAACCATACATCCTAAAGCACATTTTTGATCCTATGGTTTCCATTATTCATTCATTCATGCATGCAGGCTTAGAGAACCCTCCAGGAGACTGCTATCATGGCGGAGAAGCCCAAGCTCCACTACTTCAATGCACGGGGCAGAATGGAGTCCACCCGGTGGCTCCTGGCCGCAGCTGGAGTAGAGGTAGGTTCTGAATTAGGTCATCTGAAGTTGGATTTAAAAGCACATTATCACATACTTCTCCCACAGAAACTATGAGATGATTACTTACTGAAGCATTGTGGCTTAAATAAAAATGGACTGTCATTAAGAAAAAGAACAGATTTGACCTAATAATTGTTAAAATTTCTTCTCATCTAAGAGCCTAATGTTAAAATACATTTAAGAAACTAATCACAAAGTCTAGAACTTAAGTGCATTAGAATTTAAACAAACTGTAAAAAGTAATTTATGGCATTTATACAACATTTAGAAACATGAATATTGATTGAATATTTGATGACATGAAAGAATTATTGTTAATATTGCATGTGTGATAACGTACTATGGCCACCTTCAGAATAGTTAATATGTTTTAGGAAAACACGTGGAACTAAATAAGGATTAATCATATGGATCTGGGATTTCCTTGAAATTATTACAAGAGAAGTAAACCTACATTGGTTTTGGTTGCTAATTATTGATTCTAGGTGAGAAGTATAAGTAGAATCATTATGTTTTTTAGTTTACTTTTATTCCTGTTCATAATTTCCACAATAAAACAATAAAAATGCACAATATAAAAATGGTTGTAATTAGAGGTAAAATGCAAACTACAAATGAGAGGCCGAAGACAGTGGATTGTAACGATCTACCTCTTACAGACTGACTACATTCACAGCAATTATTTGGTTGAGCACTTATTAATTCCAAGTTCTGTACAATGAACAAGACAGACACAGTACCTGCGCTGGGGCAGCCTACAAGTCTATGAAGATGCAGACAAGTAAGCATGTTGTTAAAATGAGGGATGGAGGCTTCTAGAGCACACCCAAGCATTCCCCAGCGTTACCAGGCCACCCTAGCAGTGTCTGAGCAGGAAATGCTGGGAGGTGTCTGTTAGACTCCTCTGAGTGCTGCCCTCTAGAGGTGTCATTGAGAAAAACACTTCCCAGTGCAGACCAGAGCCCGTTAGTCACCGCCTGAGGGTTCTCCTGAGTAATGGACAGACTCAGAAGATACTGTCCGTAGGGTGGCAGAAGAAAAGAAGGGTTTCAGGTGAGGCGGCGCCCTCTGAAGGGAACTTCTAGTGCGCCCCTTCAGCCTCCCAGCGCCCTGTGGACCTGAGCCTTGGGATGGCACTTTCTCCATTGTTTCACGAGGGCTTGAGACTTTAGCCTCACCTTTCTCAAACCTACGAAGAAACAAGCACACAGGAATTCACATACTGCCATTCCAGGTTGTTGTTGTTGTTGTTTACAAATGAATACCCTGTTTCACTGTCACTCAAATGTCAACTCTGCCCCTCAGGGATGTGTTTAGAGCTTGGGAAGGAAGGGTTCAGCAGGAGGGAGGGAGGGGCCAGGCTGGGAGCAACCCTGACTCCCTGCTCTCCATCCAGCCTGACTGAAGGCAGGGGCAGGGCTGACTGCACACCTTGCTGAGGCTTCTGGGGTCTCACTGCCCTAAGGCTGATGATTACAACCCAGTCCTCAGACTCACAAGCACATCCCACTTGCCAGCTCCACCTCACCTCAGCCACCCCCCTGCCAGGACCACCCACCATTCCTTAGGTTTGTGCTGAACTGGACGCTGTATTAATTGCTGGCACACCCTCCCTGCCACCCGTGATCTCTAGATCCTGGTCCTGTGTGATCACAGATCTGCAACAAACTGTTTTATGGAGCAAGCTAGAAACTCCCAAATTCCTGATCTTTCACCATAAAGAACTCCATTGAAGTATAATTAGCCACTGCAAACACCACTACTATTTATTACTTTATATATGTGGGTCAGGCCCTGTGTCATGCATTTTGAAACATTGGAATATTCCATTTAAGAAAATATTCTATTCCCATTTTGCAGATAGGGAACCTAAGGCTTAAAGATTTTTAAGTGATAATTCCTAGATCACACAGGTATTTTGAGGCAGAGTCAAGACTGGAATCAGATCATATCAACATTGAACTGCAGAAAGTCTTAATAGCCTTTGATTAGACTTTTTGTTTGCTGGATCCTGCCTATTTAAGTCAACTACATCATTATGTAATAACAGATTTTCATATTTATATTAAATACCTGCATCCACTCATACCTTCTGATCAGATTGAGACATCCTCTTTGCTGGCTCCCATTTCCACAAAGGTGACTTGTCTCAGAACAAGGTGTAATTTACTCCAAGGTTTAAGTTACTAGATGTAGACCAAGAACGAAGTATAGTTTCATTAATATTAGATTGATTTAAATTTTTTAATTTGTATAGCCAACTATATCTCAAAATTCTAAGGATAACTTGTATTTAATGAGCAGTGACTATACACCTGCTACTTGTCTAAGTGTTCTGTGTGACCTTGTAATTTAATATTGATATCAACCTATGCCATAGGTACCATAATTATACCCATTTACTAGATTAGCATACTCAGACACAGAGAAATTCGGTAACATTTCCAAAGTCAAGCAGCCAGTACATGAAAATGGTGATGTTGAACCCAGAATACCACATCAGAAACCAGAGGTTTTAATTAAAAATGTTAGTGTGGGACTCTAATTCCTTTATTAAATTGAGAATTTTACCCTATTGTGTCCCATGTACTTCAGAAGAGGAAATTAGAGTTACAAGCGTTAAAGCTGTCCAACAGCTGTGACCTATTTCACCCTCAGCAGGGTTCCTGAAAAGTGGGGTGATGTAAATTACAGCAGAGGCTCCTTGGTGGCAGAATCTTTGTTGGCGATTAGCCCATGGCATACCCCATGCTGGGGACACACAAGGTTGTGGTCTGATCTCATCTGGAGACACAGGCTTTCCTGAGATATGACAACACCATGACTAGGAGAACTGCTCAGTGCGTTTTCTCGAGTGACAGCTCCTCTCAAGACATGACGTAATCATAGACCTTCGTGATATCAAGGTGGAGGTGAAATGAACTAGAAGATTGAGCAGCTGTGTGCTGTGACCCATGCATTCTTCTCAATAAAGCAGGTTTAAATTTCCAAATGGCCATGAACAGCCCCCTCTATGTACCCTGCCAAACTGAGAAATCTTATATTCTCCAAATGATGCACCAGATAGGGGCCATTCAAGGTCACAGGTCTATAATACAATGAACTAATAAGAACCCATTTACTGTTTCTGCTTCTAGTTTGAGGAGAAATTAATAAAATCTCCAGAAGAATTGGACAAGTTAAGAAATGGTAAGATCAATCTCTAAGTGCCTCTGATGAGGGTATCGAGTAGAAGGGAGGTTTGAGCAGCCAGCAATGCCTATGTGTGTGTGTGGGGGGAGGGGGGTGGAATTAGGGCATGGTGGAGAGGGAGAAAGTGGCTAATATGGAAGGGATGTGGCTCCTGGATCAGGTCCAGGCTAAAAGGACCAGACCTCTCAGAGTACTTGCTAGAGTAACTATCTCCAATGCACCGAGAAAGCCCTTTCTTTGTTTTCATGCTTGGGACACAGTGAAAGAGCTATAGTCATCAGCTTGGGATCCACACAGCCCTTCCCATCCAAGGACATGCAAGAACATGCATTAGAAGAAAGGAGGAGAAATAGATGTGGCAATTGCCCTGAGTTTTTTTCTTTCATGGAGGGGTGTGACAAGGTAACATTGTAGCACTTTTGCAGACTTTGAGAGCAGAGAAAGTGACTCATACATAAAACCTCTCAGAACCTGCCTTAAATGCCACAAGCACCATGAGACTTACTCTAGGAACTTCCTGTTTTAAATGGCATCTTGTTGCTAGTCCTACTGTAACTTGTCCCAACGTCTCCCTAAAATATCCATGAAGATAAATCAACACAAAAAATACAACAGTCCTACTATGTGTCTGGAGGGGAAATAAAAACATAAGTAAAATAAATGGATAAAAAGTAACAGGAAGCTTCTGAAGAAAAATAACTACAGGAAGCTTTTTAAAATTGTTGTTTGGCTGGGTGCAGTGGCTCATGCTTGTAATCCCAGCACTTTGGGAGGCTGAGGCAGGTGGATCATTTGAGGTCAGGAGTTCGAGACTAGTTTGGCCAACATGGTGAGACCCCATCTCTACCAAAAATACAAAAGTTAGCCAGGCATGATGGCACACACCTCTAATCCCAGCTCGTTGGGAGGCTGAGGTAGGAGAATTGCTTGAACCCAAGAGCAGAGGTTACAGTGAGCCAAGATCACGCCACTCTACTCTAGCCTGGGCAATGGAGTGAGACTCTGTCTCAAAAAAATAAAAATAAAATAAAAAAGTCATTTCAAGTGAAATCTTAGCAGGCAATAATTTCTTCTTCATTTTACAAATTTAGACATTTCCACAATCATTTTTTCTTCCTGAAAGATAGAGTTCCATAGATATTTAACTCTCCCTCTTTTCATTCTTTTCCAAAGATGGGTATTTGATGTTCCAGCAAGTGCCAATGGTTGAGATTGACGGGATGAAGCTGGTGCAGAGCAGAGCCATTCTCAACTACATTGCCAGCAAATACAACCTCTATGGGAAAGACATAAAGGAGAGAGCCCTGTACGGTATATTTTCTGTTCTTCCGTCAACAGAGAGCACAGAGTGATTTAGGTGCTTCCTTGAGTGGGTGGGACCATGGCAGGGGCAACATGACCAGCAGCAGGTGGGCCTTAGGTGTGTACGCTGAAGTGCTGTACTGCAGAGTCCCGTGGAGGTGAGGGAACAGTGAACATGGGGTGGGTTCAGGCGAGGGTGATTCTCGAAGAGGATGCAGTCCATGGATATAGCACCCTGACAGAGGTTTCCAAACACGGATGAACCATGAACTGAGGAGGATGCGAATCATGATTCCAGTTGCTCAGGTCTTCAGAGGCTGGACTTCAGCCAACAGCTTAGGACAAGCATAGACTGTTTGGGAGTCTGTAGATGAAGGACTGGGGAGGGAAGGCTACAAAGAAGCTGAATCTCAAGTCCCAGTAATTCCAAGAATGATGTCCCGTGGAACCCAAATTACCAACCAATTATATGGACTGGAACGGCTGAGCAGGGCTAGTAGAGGCTGGTGCCCAGGATGCTAGGGTTATCTTGACACATGATAGAAGGACGAAGCAGCCAGATTTGTTCAATACCAACAAAGTCAAGGAGTCTCCTTGCTGTTGTGATGAGACTGCATGATTCCAAATAAATCCTGAATGGAACTGTTGGTAACTCCTGAAAAACTGTAATATGATATTACCATTAACCCCGCAGTTCCTCTAATAGGTATATCCCCAACAATCAAAAATACGTCCACACGAAATCTTTTAGATAAATGAACAATGCAAATAACAACATTCACAGTATTCAAAAAGTGGAAATAACCCAAATATCCATCAATCCATAAACGGAGGAGAAAAATGTGCCTTAGCCATACAATGAAATGATATTTAGTCACGAAGAAGAATGAAGTACTGACGCATGCTACAAGATGCTACATAAAAGAAACAAGACACAGAAAGCCATGGATTGTAGGAGTCTTTTCATATGAAACGTCCAGAATATTCAAATCCATAGAGGCAAAGTCCATAGTGGTTGGCTGGGGCTAAAGGAGTGGGGCTTGGGGACAAATACTGCCAATGGTACAGATGTCCTTATCAGGGTGATTAAAAACTATTCTGGAAATAGACTGTGATGATTTTTACAGAATTCTGTGACTGCACTAAAAACCACGCAACCTTAACAGGTGGCAATTACAGTATGTGAATATACATCAATAAAGTTGTTGTTTTAAAAAATATTGTGAAACCCCAGTTTGACACAAAAGAGGAAACGTTTGCACTGGTTGTAAGTGTATAGAGAATTTCACCAAGGAAGACCATCTTTTAGGTGGGGTCTCAGGAGAGGCATACATGGCTAGAGCTGGACAACAGCACACAGAGAGGGCTGTGGAATTATGTCTCACGGGAGTAATCGGAGGAACTGCTAACATGAGGCATAGAAGCGGGCCTGGGAGGTGTAAACTGATGAGACAGGACGAGGAACATGGCTGAGATGGCTGAGCCAGGGACTCTCTTAGGATTACTTAGGGGGCAGGTCTTTGGCCATTTGACTCACACTAAGTTTATGCACAGAACAAACCACAGTAGAAATGGAAAATCCCGGCACAGCATCCGTGGTTACTTCCAGTGATTCCACCAATTTCTCTCATGACTGTGACCACCGATGCTCTTTTTACCTGTATTAAATCACATGTGTAACAAAATTTAGAGATATATCTACCTCGATAGGTTGTTTTAAAAAATAAATGTTAATATACCTGTACAAATCAGAGCATAGTATCTAGAATATAACAGCACCCACTGGAAGTGAATTATTTTGTCAACACCAGATATTCTATTCTCTTAGGTTTCTATAAACCTATAAAATCAAAGGCAAAAGGCATTTGACCATTTGGTTGTTTTTGTCTTTCAGGATTGATATGTATATAGAAGGTATGGCAGATTTGTATGAAATGATCCTTCTTCTGCCCTTCTGTAAACCTGAGGAAAAAGACACCAAGATTGCCATGATCAAAGAGAAAACAAAAAATCGCTATTTCCCTGCCTTTGAAAAAGTAAGTGAAGGTGTTCAGCATTTGGGACACTGAGTTTAGAGGACAGCAGGAAAATAGCGGCTGGGCATTCCTTTGAGAGTTCCTGAACACCAGTGCAGCACTCTGACTCTCAAGAGATTTTATGAAAATAGACTTGGAGGAACAATTATACCAGTTATATCCAGGCTGTAATTTTCCAGTAAAATTTTAATTTACTAGACCCCAAAATGACATTTTCTGTTCAAGCAAAATTTCATGTTCATAAGTAGAACATGGGCTGTGGAAGGCTCTGAACCACACTAGGGGGTTGCCTTTGAGTCTATGTTCCACAGACTCTGATTGAAGACGAACATGATGAAAGCGATCCATCAGAAATTATTCTGGCACCATGTGTAGGAAGACACGAGACCAATTGCCCAACCAGAGAATATTGTAGCGTTTCAGGGATGGGTAGTTTTTAAAAGGAGAGTGACTGTGGGATGCAGAGGAAGATTTTGTAAAATGAATTTGATAGTAAGTTGCAGACATCAGTGCAGTTCACCCCTGAATGCTTCAGCTTGTAGATTATAACATAGTGTGGGTTAGGAGTCAGAATCGATGCTGTGAGAAAGATGATGAATTCAAATTCACCCAGGTTTACTTCAGATCCTAGGGAGATAGAACAGGGAATGAGGCGAGCAGACAAGGAGAAATGAAGACTCTGAAATAGCTACTCCTGGGGGAAGAGAGCTGTCATGAAGGTGGAGTTGCTGCCCAAGGGAGATTGGAGAGGGAGACAGCAGAGTGTAGAGCCGCATCGTGAATGTCAGGACTGCGTGCTGGAGGGCATGGTGCAGACAGAACATGCAGAGGCAGGTGCGAAGCCCTTGGCCCATGGGGAAGAGTGGGTAATGTAGATGCCACAGTGATATGGAATGAGAAGAGAAAATGATAGCCGGAGCTCCAACTGAGGACTGGGCAGAGCTACACTTCTTACTCTGTCACTCATTCAGATAATGTGGAGAAAGTTCTGGATCTCTGCACCCATACAGTAAGGTGACAGCGGTGGGGAAAATCAGGGTGAAGAGGCTTAGAAAGAAGCAGGGGTCCTGCGCATGTGTTCCTGATCTGATTCCTCAAACTCTCCAGGTCTTAAAGAGCCACGGACAAGACTACCTTGTTGGCAACAAGCTGAGCCGGGCTGACATTCACCTGGTGGAACTTCTCTACTACGTGGAAGAGGTTGACCCCAGCCTTATCTCCAGCTTCCCGCTGCTGAAGGTGACCCATTTCACAGCCCTCCGAGAGGCAGCCCCACATCTCCCATCTTGGGATCTAGTATCTGGGCCCTGGGACTGACCATATTCTAACCTGAGCCTTCTCCAGGCCTGCTGTGCCCCCAGGTCTCCAAAATGAGCTTCCAGGCTCCAGTTTTGAGGAATGAAAATGCTTTTGTTATGGAAAGGAAATTTGTGGTGCATGCTACCCCACGAAGAGTATTTTGCGTTTTATCATGGAAAGGACCCAGGACCCAGCGTCTCTCCCCATCCCTCTATTTCCCTGTGGTTTCTGTTCCTGAATTCTCTGTGATGCCCTTTATCCTAGATGTGCCCTTGTCTTCCTGCACCAAGTCTGTCTGAGCTGGGCCCTTTCCATCTGGTTTCCTTCCTGGGCTCCGGCTCCTGCTGTCAGACGTTGTGCTCCTCTCTGCACAGCTCTCCCAAAACACTGCCCCAACCCTGTATCCCTCACTGAGAAAAAGTGGTCCCATGGTTTGTCTTTAATATTTTCTATAATATGTTCCTTTCCAACTCATTTCCCCATATTTTCACTTCTGCTTAGAGACTGATCTGTGTTGATATCTACAGGCACATTGTTTCTTCTTGTCTTACACAAGAGCCACAAATCTATAGGAATAATATGTAAGGAGAAAAATAGGGATGACAGAACTGATTAAAACTTAGACATCTTTGGGGAAGATACAAAGTAAGCTACATGTTCTCCCTCCTATTGTCATTTCTCACTGGGTGTCTGTTTCTCCCCCCATGCTGGTGCTGATGGAGGGACTCACTTGGTCTTTGGCAGGAGGGCTCAGATTCCCTGGGTGGTGTTAACGGTGATGTCAGCCCTTGGCTTCACTCTGAGGCTGTGCTTTGTGAATTACAGGCCCTGAAAACCAGAATCAGCAACCTGCCCACGGTGAAGAAGTTTCTGCAGCCTGGCAGCCCAAGGAAGCCTCCCACGGATGCGAAAACTTTAGAAGAAGCAAGGAAGATTTTCAGGTTTTAATAAAGCAGCCATGGAGGCCAAGAACATGCAAGACCAACGTTCTAAAGCTTTGCAACAATAAAGTGCTTTACCTAACTGTTGATTGTGCCTGTTGTGAAGCTTACGAACCCTTTCCACTTATATGCTGATTAAATAATAAAAAACTCCTACGACTTAGTTTTTTGCCAACTTAGTTAAAATTGATTTCTTTTCATTAGGATCTGATATGAATTCAGATCTCCAATCTCCTCCTAGCCTATCATATCACTTTCTTGGAATTAAAAATTTAGTAAAAAAGGAAACTATAGATTATATGGTGTGTTTGACTTTTCCAAGGATTGTCCTGTAACATTTGTCGTACAATTTATTAAAAAGTCAGGTGTAGAAATGTACATCTGACATTTTCAGGTATGCACAGGGAAAGAGTTACCATTCTGAGTAATGGCTTAAAGACATTTTCTTCTTTTCCTGGATGGTCATTTTATTTCTGATAAAAGCATTCTTTCTGACACATTTTTAAGACAGCCATTCCATCTGCTGTGGCTTCCTCAGTTTTCTGGGAGGTGAGGAGATACTGAAGAGCAAGCAGAACTGCCCTCTGCTCTCAGGCCACCCTGCTGTCCCTCACAGTGCGTGTGTGCTCCTGGCTCCTCCTCACTCTGCTCCTTAAGGCTCTGTGGGGCCCTGAGCACGAGCCTTCCCTCAGTTCCCTGAGTGCCACTCAGGCCTGGGCTGCCAAGATACAGATGGTATCTGTGAATTACATACAAGTAACTATATGCAAAATCATTTTTCTCTGGTGTGTCAATGTGCCAGAGTGCTTGGATTAGGAGCGCTTCCTAGCTTCAGCCTCTACTGTGCCTATAATGCTAATCCCTCCCAGGACACCTGGGCTTCTGCAAAGTGAGCTCTCCTCCTCTGAGAGTGGCTTCCCCACAGTTGGCGAAGGTGGGTGATGGAGCAGACAGACACACAGCTTCCTACCTGCAGCTTCACTTTGCTCTCATCTCTTCTCTGCTTATAACAAGAGTAGTTTTTCTAAAACGCAAATAAAAAAAAAAAATCACAGAATTCTTCACTGCATACAGAACACATCCTCACACCCCATCCTCACTCCCTGATCTCCAGCCCAATCAACCCTCTGAGCATGGTGGGGCCTCTTGCCTTCCTGCCTGGGTGCATTTGTTACCCCTGCCTGGCAAACTTCTTCCCAGTGGCCACACTTAACGCTACCTCACTGCTTCCCAGGAGCAGCGGGCTGTCCTCTGTGCTCTGCACAGAGCCCCGGTGAGCCTCTAATAACACCTGAAGGCCACTGTGTCTGCTCCACTGTCCTGTGAGCTCATGGTGTGGGGATTGGCCTGCTGGGTCCCCAGTGGCTCATCACCAATGGACAATGGCATCTGCACAGATCCATGCGCAACTCTATCACGACTCCAGAACCTGGGTACACGAGACTGGGCTTTCAGAACTCAAAAATCCCCACACACTCTACCTATCTGTATTTATTCATTAATTTCTAAAAAAAAATTGACCTACATTCCTTAAATGCTTTGTAAGGACCTTGCTTGGATGCTGACCAAAATAAACAAACAGCTAAGAAATTTTCATGGGACACTTACATGAACTAGAATGCTGAAACTTTAATGAAATTGAGGAATTACAGAATTTTAATATGATAAGAGAATCGTGTGATTATGTTTAGAAAAGAAGTTCTTCCTTTCTAGAGAGCAATACTAGAATTTACAGATTAAATGGTATGCTGTCTGGGATTTGCTTCAAAAGAATCCCCGGGTAGTTGGGGGAGTAGGTGGGACTTTGTATTATTTTCCTGTGGTTCCTGTCACAGATTCCTACAAACTGGGTGGCTTGAAACAACAGAAACACTTTTTCTTACAATTCTGAAGGCCAGGAGTCTGAAGTCAGGGTGTGAGGGCCAGATTCCCCTGGAGCTCTAGGGAACAATAATTCCCTGCCTCTTACACCTTCTGGGGGCTCTTGGCATTTCTGGACTTTCATGGATTGTGGTCATGTCACTCTACTTTCTGCCTGGGGCTTCCAGCACCTCACCCTCTGTGTGTCTCTGTCTTCTGTTCTTTATGTTGCAGGGACACTTGTGATTGGATTTAGAGCCTATCTGGATACACCAGGATGATCTCATCTCAAGTTCCTCAACTTCATTACATCTGCAAAGAGCCTTTTTCCAAATAAGATCTCACTTACAGGACCCAGGGATTTGGATATGGACCTATCTTTCTTGGGAGCCAATACAACTTAACCCATCACATGATATTGATGAAGGAAGGTTGCTGGCAATTGATGAACCCAGGTCACGGGTACCTTCAGGCTTGTTATATGATTCTCTCTACTTCTGTATTTGCTAGAATTTTTCCATGTAAATTTAAAAGCTCTCTTATTTTAGGCGCTCCTATGATGTCCAGGTTTTATACAGGACATTGAGGACTGGACTCAAACAGGAAGGCTCTGCTCTCAGGAGCTCAAGGTCTTGGGGGAAAGCTGATAGTGAATACATCATGTCAAATTAACGCAGGGAAAGACACAATAGAGAAATAGAGTAGGAGGTGAAAGTAGAGAATTCTCTAGTGACATCCCCTCTCAAAACATGACCTAATCGTAAACATTCGTGAGACCAGGGTGGAGATGAAACGAATTAGAAGATTGAGCAGCTCTGTACTGTGACCCATGCCCTTTCCTCGATGATTCAGGTCTAAATTTACAAACGGCCATGACCAGCCCCTCTGTGTGCACTGCCAAACTTAGAAATCTTATATTCTCCAAATGATGCACCAGATAGGGGCTATTCAAAGTCAGAAGTTTATAATGTGATGGAATGAACAAAAACCCATTTACTCTCTCTGCTTCCAGTTTGATGAGAAGTTTCTAGAATCTGCAGAGGATTTGGACAAGTTCAGAAATGGTAAGATGAAGTCTCTAAGTGCCTCTGATGAGGGTATGTAGCAGAAGGTACACAAGGAAATCTGAACAGCCGGCAATGCGTATGTCTGTGTAGGGTGGTATTTGCGCACGGTGGAGAGGGAGTAACTGTTTAAAATGGAAGGGCTGTGGCTCTTTGATCAGGTCTGGCAACTCTCTCCAGGATGAAAGGACTAGACTTCTCAGTGTACTTGCTAGAGGAACTATCCCCAGCACCCTGTGAATGCCCTTTCCTTGTTTTCATGCTTCGGGCACCAATGAATGAGCTGGGGTGATCAGCCCAGGATCCCACACAGGCCTCCCCATCCAAAGACATGCAAGGATATGGATTAGATGAAAGGAAGAAAAACAGATGTGGCCATTGTCTTGAGTTTTGTTCTTTCATGGGGGCTGTGACAAGGTAATAGTATAGCAATATTGCAGGCTTTGAAGAGCACAGAAAGAAACCCTTACATAAAAACCTCTCAGAACCTGCCTTAAATGTCACAAACGTTATGAGACTTATTCTGGGAACCTCCCGTTTTAAATGGCATCCTATTGGCAGTCCTGTTGTAACCTATCCCAACATCCTCCTGAAATATCCATGAAGATAAATCAACACAAAAAAGACAAGAGTCCTACTATGTATCTCGAGGGTAAATAAAAACATAAATGAAGCAACACCATAAAAAATAAAAGGAAGCTTGTTAACAAAAAGAAGGATTACAGGAAGCTTTTTAAAAACGCACTTTCAAGTGAAATCTTATCGGGCAATAATTTCTTTTTTATTTCACAAATTTAGTCATTTCCATAACCATTTTTTCATCCTGAAAGAGTGGGATTCATAGACATTTCCCTCTCCTTGCCTTTCCTTCTTTCTAAAGATAGGAGTTTGATGTTCCAGCAAGTGCCAATGGTTGAGATTGATGGGATGAAGCTGGTGCAGAGCAGAGAAATTCTCAACTACATTGCCAGCAAATACAACCTCTATGGGAAAGACACAAAGGAGAGAGCCTTGCGTGATGTATTTTCTGTTCTTCCATCAAGAGACAACATAGGAGTGATTTAGGTCCTTCCTTTAGTGGGTGGGTCATGGCAGGGACCCTCAGTGTGTATGCTAAGGTCCAGCATTGCAGAGTCCCCTAGAACAGTGAACGTGGGGTCCAGGCGAGGATGATTCTAGAAGAGGATGTAGTCCATGGAGCCAGCACCCTGACAGAGGTTTCCAAACACTGATGAACCAGCTGGAAAAAGGCATGCGCAGCACCACCACTCTGTTAGTTACATACACGCCCAAGAGAAAAAAAATGGAGAAAGGGTGCTCTGCAGAGAGGTGCCTGAGGAGTCTGCAGTGTCATTTTTGCTACCACGGGAGCTTTGGATGGTCGTGGTAGTACTACCTGCTGGTGGTGGAAAGACAAATAAAAGAAAACAATGGAAAAGAGGAGGCACCAGGAGACCCACTCTCCAGTGGCCAGGGGTGGATAGTGGCCACAGTAGTGCCCTGGTGTATTAGTCAGGGTTCTCCAGAGGGAAAGAACTAATAGGATAGATGTATATATGAAAGGGAATTTATTAAAAAGAACTGACTCACACGATCAGAAGGTGAAGTCCCACAACAGGCTGTCTGCAAGCTGAAGAGCTAGGAAGCCAGTAGTGGCTCAGTCCAAGTCTCAAAACCTCACCAGTAGACAAACCGACAGTGTAGCCTTCTGTCATTTGCTGGGGACCACTGGTGTAAGTCCAAGAGTCCAAAGGCTGAAGATCCTGGAGTCTGATTTCAAGGAAGCATCAAGCATGGGAGAAAGATGAAGGCCAGAAGACTGAGAAAGCCAGCTTAGTCCACCTTCTTCTGCCTTCCTTTTGATAGCTGTACTGCAGCTGATTGGCTGGTGCCCACCCATGTTGAGGGTGGGTCTTCTTCTCCCAGTCCACTGACTCAAATGTGAATCTCCTCTGGCAACACCCTCACAGATACACTCAGAAACAATATTTTACATCCTTCCACCCAATCATGTTGACACTCAGTATTAACTGTCACACATGGTCAGGTTGTGCTGGACAGAAGTAGGGTCTGCAGCAGCCGCCACGGTGTGGACAGGCAGCCTGGTGCAGACTGGTGGGGCAGCAGAGTGGCAGGTGGCTCATGCAGGCTGAGGATGCAGGG